CAAGGACATTAGAAATTAAAAGCAATACTTAACAAAAAGCCTTTGAACATTTGTAAATAACTGGTGGAACTTAATGCCAAGAAATACAGTATTACAAAGAACACATTTGTATGAATAAGAATGTATCTGCAGTCTGAAAGTGACATCTCAGTCATGCATTTGTGCACAGGCAGCGGTCCACCCAGAGTTGGTAAGAACCTTCTCATCCCACTTGGTGTGCTACTGCACAGCTAGCCAGCTGCAGTCCAGGAACTTGATGGAAGCGTCTGGTCTTGGTTGTGGTAGACACAGATACTTGGAGTTTCCAGGAAGGAAAACATGGCATCAAGTGACTTAACTTTTTACAAGACTACTATCCTTCCAGTTACCAAATAAAAAGGCCCTTAGGCGCAAATATGCTGTAGTTAAACCTTTAAAAGATGCAACAGACTCCATTATTTTCTTCTGAAGAAACACTGCTGCAAATCTGAGATTTGAATAATTATAATTCACAGTTTCAAAGTAAAGGTGGCACACAAACCCTTCCCACCCCCCATCCCAAACCCTTCTTCACTGGGATCAAGTCTCTATCTTGAGGCGTGAAGCTTGGATAGTTTTTATTGTTTTGGCTGTGTGTTTTCCAGCCAGATTGCTTGTAGATGTCTGAGATTTTTCTTCAATTAGGCTATCTTTAGACCCATTTCTTCTCTAGAAGAGAGTATGTTTAAAAACAAAGTAAGATTCAGAGAAGAAAACACAGCCAAGTCAATTTTATTAACACATCAGAAATAACTAAGATTTCTTACATTTAAGACATTGAGTTATCAATTATTTAGGCAAGGTTCCTAAAAGCTGTTTAAATATTCTCTTTATTTAAACAGCTAACTGTGATAAGCAACATGAAGATTATATGTTTAAATCTTAAAGTTACTCTGACAGTTGCATGCATAATAAATTTTATTCATGAAAATTTGGCATAATTCTAGATCCATTCCTCAAGCAAGTGTAATTTCCTTTCTAGTTATTCCTAAACCAGGCTCTCAGGCCTCCCATTTTTTAAGGGAGGGGCAGAGAGATGAAGAGAATGGGCAATTGAGAGTAATCTGTAATCTTCCCTGATTATATTTCCAGTAGTCACTGAATGAAACCCCCACAACACAATGCGCTGGGGGCTTCCATCACTTGGGGCTAGAGCTCCTTGTTGGCTGGGGGACCCTCAAGGAGACTTGGACTCTAAGGACCCCATCATGAAGAAATGGGAGTGGAGCTATCAAACCTGAGCACTACACCCACAGCTTCTGGAAGTGGGTGATATACGTGTCCCACTGCCGCAGGTGGAGGCCCTGAGAATGACACTAAAGGTGCCTCACACAGCACCCCCTGCTGCACCTTCCTGCTCTTACCTCCCTTTAAAGATGGCCTAACTTGTCAGTAGATCTGGCTGACAACCATATTTATTTCCCTAAAGTATCTCCCCACACATCCTGGGCTACACTCCAGAATTCTATTTTCTTGAGATTCATTTGAGCTAAAAATAAGCCACCCTCTGAGAAATTGTCTTTTATTTGTTTCTATGACTGCCTTGATTTGTTTCACTCATACTCAAAGAAGCGCTGATGAAACAATTCTGCTAAGCATGGGAAATATGAATCAAGATAATTTTGGAGCATGAGACATGATCTATTTGGGATGGAAGATTTCTAAATAACCAGAGAGGTAGGAGAAGAACCCCAGAGCATGAGAGTGTCAGGGCAGGGGGATAGAGAACTAATGTATCTGAGGAATCACTACCTTCTTGTACATTTGTTAAGGACTGAACTTGTCTCTTCTGCCTGCAGACCTTAAGGAAAATGAATCAAAAGCTCTAATCCACTTTACCAGCTTCTGCATGAAAAAGCGAGGTGAGGTGTAGGCAGGCCAAGCCACTGCCAGAACTCTGGCATCATCATGGAACTTATGTCGGAAATGCAGCTTTCCTGCTTCCCCATGTCATTTGCATTCTTTCTCCACATGGCAACCAGTTCAGTGGTTTCCTTTTGGCACTTAATAAGATCGAAACAAACTCTTCCCATGGCATCTAAGGCCCCGCATTACCTGCCCCCCTTCTCCCTCATTCACTATGCTCAGACCTCAAACACCCAGGCCCTTCCCAGCTTCAGCCTTTTTCCCCACGCTTTTCCAACCACAGTCATATGTGGCTGGCTCTTCTCCCCTGTGAATTTCAGCTTTACACCTCACTTTCTGAGATGGCCTTTACCCTGTCTATCTAAAGTAAGGTCATATGTTCATTTTCTAACTCAGACCTTTGTCTCTTCATAATAATTAACTAATTTTTTCTTATTGTTTTACCTGTTTATTTTTATGTGTATGTGCCCTCCCCAACAATAACCCTTTAAAAACAGAAACAATTAGTTCCTGGGCTGTACAAAAACAGACAGCACATTAGATTCAGCCCATGGGCTATATTTTGTTGACTGCCCTGATCAGTGCCTTGTCACTCCTTAGATGTGCTCATGAGATAGTTGTTGAATTCAAAAATCTAAGGTGTCTCAGAGACAAGCTTAGAATCAGTGCCATTGATCACAAGATGCATGTGAGTTGTTCTTGTATGTACCGAACCAATAGCTATTCTTTCAATATTTCAGGTGTATAATTTAAGTTTTTTGAGATTCCTAAATGATGGTGATTAGGGAGTCCTGAGTAGCTGGAAAAGCAAAATGACAATGCAATTCCCATTTGTACTCAAGCCAACTTAAATTTAAGACAAAAAGGCACTCTGAAAAATAACAGTGCTTATTAATCCTCACAGTAACCTTAAGAGGGAGGTTATTCCTACACTGCATAGAAGTTTAGGCTTAGAAGCTGAACAACTGCTCAACATCACACAAGTGGTGTGTGGAGACAAGGAGACACCAACGCAGGTCCTTTCTGAGTGAGAAGCCTCGACTATGAATCATCAGTGCAGGTTTTTTCAGTGCTACTGACTTGAAA